ATCTAAAAGTACATGACGTAAAAGCTAACAAGTGCCCCATATCATAAAAATTAAGACTATAAATGCAAAAAAGAATGTAACTCAGTTCTATTTCACAATCATAATTCTTAATACAAGTACATAAATTTAAAGTGCCAAACGGGGCAAAACCTTGATGAATATAAGAATGGTTTTGCTAATACCAATCATTTTACTTATGGTTGAAAAAACAGGAAAAAACATTTAAGTTGTGAGTTTGAAGAATTACATATCTGAAAGATAACCAGGTTAACACAAGACATCATCTATGCTTTCTGCAACAAGATTCCCACAACACTATAAATGATGATCACTAATATTTAGTCTGTGTGGAAATAGAAAGGTATGCACCATTAGTTTTCTGCCCCAGGACTAAAAGCCATTTATATTAGCTAGATGGACATTGCTCCTCTTTTGAGGACTGTGGGGGATAACTAGTGGAAACTGCTACAAACAGAACCAATTTTCAGTCTTTTCCTTTTAGCAGAGTCTGTTCTTGCAAGATAAAATGTTAAATGTTTCAGAATTCCTGGGACTGAGCATCCCCGTTGACTTCTTTCAGCAATGCTGTTTTTTTAGGAAGAAGAATGGCTTGGATGTTGGGGAGCACTCCTCCTTCAGGAATGGTCACATGTGAAAACAACTTGTTCAACTCTTCATCATTCCTTATTGCCATCTGGATATGGCGTGGTCCAATCCGCTTCTTCTTGTTCTGATGAGCAGCACTCCCAGCTAATTCTATGACCTCTGCAGACAGATATTCCAAGACTGCGGCCAGGTACACCGAGGCTCCTGGACTTACTCTTTCGGCATAATGGCCCTGTTTTAGGAACCGATGAATTCGGGCCACAGGAAACTGCAAGCCACATTTTTTTGTCTTGGTGATTCTGGCAGGCAGTGCAGGCTTTGGGTGTTTCTTACCACGCCCAGACATTCTGTTCCTATAAACAAAGACAACCTTTCATTACTTCAATTTAACTCTGCAATTTAATAGAGCTTAATAGACTATTCTGCTCACAAACTTAAGCACTGGCCATTAAACATGCATTCTACAAGTAAGAATACAAGCCCTGTTACCATATTTCTATAAAAGACTGTTAAAAGTAATACTATTTTTTAAATAGTACTCCTGTCTTTCCATTGGAAGATAATCAAGGTAAATGCAACAGCTTTGCTACTGATGTTATCAGGTTCAGTCAGTTTGGAAAAATCTGGCAAATATTTTCAGAATAACATTAAAGGCATCAACTGCAGTTCAGTATAACAAGAATAAATTATTAAGATTTAACTTTAACCCAGCAAATACAATACAGTTTTAGAGTAGAACCATTACATAGTCTAGGAATATGCTTTGTAGCTGTATAAAACTTCTGTATAAAACTATGAAATCTCTTGGTTCATCATCATTATCCACAACACAGTTTGTTTCATATTGGCTGTGTGTGTGTGTGTGTGTGTGTGTGTGTGTGTGTGTGTGTATTCTCAGTGGTTTATATTTAATTACAGTTTATTGAATAAACCACTATTTAGCACAATGTATTAAATGGGATACTAAAAAGCAGGTTTCTTTGTATAGATATAAAATATTAGACATT